GAATTGGATTTCATGATTAGTCGGATTATTTGTCGGATTTACGGTAGTTCGGGCTAATTGTAAGTGAACGAAGATAAAGACAATTTAAACGAAGGTACCTTAAATACGACAAGTTGTCCGGCTAAGCAAAAAATCTTGCTTTTTGATAAGGGTCCATGGTATTGCACTTCTGTGGCAAATGGAATGCATCCGACTCTTGTTCAAGACATTCAATAAACATGTTAAGTGCATATGTATTCCCTTTTTTCTTGAGTCTGCTTGCTCATGCAAAATGAAATGCGTTTAATATAGATTAAAAATGAATGACATTTAATCGTGATTAATCGAAATTAATCCACAGCAACCCTGTGATTAATCTGATTAAAAAAAAATTATCGTTTGATAGCACTAATTATATATATATATATATATATATATATATAATGTGTGTGTGTGTGTGTGTATGTGTGCAGGTGTGGGTGTTTGTGTATTTAACAAAACATCCATAAATTCACAGATAACTGTCACCCCTGTGCTGTAGTTACACTTTAATTGCACATACACATTGACAGAGGCTTCCAACTTCCTGTGTGGTTTGATAAATGTAAGAACACAGAGTGACAATGAACTTCATGGCCTCATTTCCAAGAAGCAGTAGGAATTTCAAAGAAATACCAACCGTTTGCCCAGTCCTGTTGTTGTGGACGGACAGGTTGTACAGCATCAGGCTCTCCGGATAGTACTCTGCCATAGGTTCATTGCTTTCTTTGTTACTCCATCTCATTGGACCCGTGAGGTTGATGAACATTTGACGCTCCTTCACCACAATGTTAACGACCGGTGGTCCAAAGGTTGCTGATAAGTAGAGAAAATGAAACCAAAAACATGCATCAGACACCTCAGCCTGCAGCACCCACTGCTACAAGGGCTTTTATGTCTGTCAGCTTACTGATGTTAAACTCAATACCTCATATGTGTGCAGCAAATTCAAAAGGAATTTAGATCAAGAAATCAATTAAAGCCCTTCTTGTAGCTACACATCTCAATAAAAAAATGTATGCCATCAAGGTTTTCATCAAAAAGTGTACATTTTCTGAACTTAATTATACTGTAATTACATATCAAGATATTTACGTTTATTACTACACATAGTAAACTATGAATAATACACACATACACAATGAAATACAGAGGTACTGTGGTCAATTTAATGATGTTGGTGATTGACAGGTCGGCTTACTGTCTAAGACGGGGTCGAATCGGTCTGTGTGGTTCCACTCTGAGGCTCCGTTCTTGCCCACAGCCTTGACCCTGGCATAGTACTTTTCATCCGGGTCACTGGTCTCATCAGATAGGTCACACATCGTCTTCTTCAGCTTCTTGCATGCCTTGACCCCTTTCCATACCTCCTGGCCGGGTGCTGCCTTGTCCTCTTCTCCGTATCTGCAGGAAGGAACAGTCTCAACTTCAGACCTTTTAAAAACCCGGCTGGAGTAGCATGGCAAGACCCTCACCAAGGAGCTGACATGAGTCAACACCTCCTTTGTTCTTTGTTCTTCATTTTCTTTCAAGTAATAGTCTACTTTCACATTGTTGTGTTTTTCACACAAAAACAGGATCTGGTAGTTAGGCTATACATCCATATTCTGTAACGACTTATCCAACATGGGTTGTGTTGTGCCAGGAGTTTATTGTAGGAAACAGCCTGGAGCAGATGTCAGTCAATCTGAGGGCACGAGCTAGCACACATAATCAGACTCGATTTAAAAAGCCCCAGTTCACCTACCCACATGCATTTGAACTACAGGAGAGAATCTGCGTGTAAACGCCACCCAAACAGTGACAGTGATTCAACTCACAGCACTGGAGGCCGTGAGGCCGCAGTGTTAACCACCAAGCCAACCAGCAGTCATACAGTTAAGCAGAAGTAATTCTGAACACTGGCAATTCGGAAAGATACACAGTATTTGATTGCCACTCTTCTGTTGCTACTGTATATGACA